CCAGGCTGTGAAGGCTTCTAGAGCCATGTCTCGTGACGGTAAGTTGACGTGCCAGACATATCGCGTTGCGGCGTCGATGAAGGTGATGACGTAGTTCAGATCTTCACGTCCTTCCGTTCGAGGTATGTATAGTATGTCGCTGTAGACTTTCTCGAGTGGTTGATAAGCGGGGGCGCTCGGATTGTGGTGTGACGGGAACGGTTGGTGAGGCAGATCTGCTTCCGGGCAGATGAAGCAGGTGCCGCGTGGTCGTTCGAGTTCTCATCCGTTGGGAAGAAGTAGGGCGTTCTTGTCTAACACTCCGGCTCGTATTGTATTGTAGAGTGTTGTGTTTCCAGGATGTCCAAGACGTTGATGCCATATGTCTTCGGAGGCGCTGTGACCTACGGAGCGTCGATAGAAGTCTGCGTTAGCGAAGAAGGCGGCGTGAGTTGCTGCACTTCGATGGACGGCGCGTGGTGCTGGCGTTAACTGTTGGGCGGCTGTCGGTGGCGTGTCGATGATGAGAGGTGGAGGTGCGACGGAGGGACCGAGCTGTAGGGTTTCGGAAGGTTGTTCCGCGACGACGGTTGGTTCTTCAATTGCAGGTTCGGAGGTTGTTGGTGTTGTGACGGGTGCAGTTGTTGTTTCGATGACGGGTGCTGACTCAGGTGTTGTGGCTTGTGTTTGCAGGACGGCAAGCGCGTTGGTGCGTTCAGCTTCGGGAATGGTACGAGAGTACCAGAAGCCTTCAGGACTGAAGTTCGGGTCGAGGTCTGGCGGATGCGTCCAAGGTGCGAGAGCGACTATGCCGTCGCTGTCTGCGGTGCCTTTGTCGGGGACGAAGTCGAGGACGAACACGTCATCTTGTTGGATTGCACGGCCGATGAAGACCCCCCCTTTTCCGTGGTAAAGACGGATTTCCAGGGCGTCGGAGTCGCACTCCAGGTGAACGCCTTTCGACATGAGTTGGCTGACGCTCAGTAAGTTAAAGCCGAGGTTGTCGACGACGAGTACTTTGTTTAATTGAAGAATAACGTTTGTTTCGTTTGACTGAAGCTCCACGACTCCTTGTTTGTTGGTGCGCAGGTTTTCGTTGTTGGCGATGGTGATGATGACGTCTCGCGGAAGACGTCGTTCGCGCTGAAGAAATCGTGATGAAGAGCACATGTGATGACCGCAACAACTGTCGAGGAACCATGTGTCTGGTCCGGTGGGTGCACGGTTCGCGATGGCGGCGTACGTTGGATTCACGTTAAGGGACGACGGTGGTGGTGATGGTTGCTCATCAGGACTGTAAGTTGGTGGAGAGCCGGTAATGCACGAGTCGATGTTTGACTCTGTTGTTCGTGCCATGGCGACGATTCTTGGTGTCTGTGCAGGTCCCGAAGTGGAGGTTGACGGTCGTGTTGAAGTAGTCGTTGAGGCGGTAGCGGGTCGTTGTTGAGTTGACGCGATGTGGGGAGGCACTGGTCGCAGAGGACGAGAGAATGGTGCTGGTTGTCGTTGTTGCTGAGGGCAGTTGAAGCGTGTGTGTCCTGAAGTCCGACAAAGATGACAATAGGGAGGTACGTGTCCTCGATTTTGGTAGCGTGGCTGTCGTCGATTGGTGTAAAGAACGATTGGTTGATGATGCCTTTTGTTGTTGCGTTCTTCGAACAGGTCCATTTCCTGCTGCTCGGCGTGAAGTTCGGCGCAGAGATGCATTTCGGAGAGTCGACCGTGAGCGCGAAGAAGTGAGCGGGTGGTGCGCCACTGAGGTCCAAGGCCGGCAAGAACGACGGTTACGAAAGCTTCTTCAGATAAGTTTCCTCCGCAGCGAATGAGTCTGTCGCGTAGTCCTTGACAGCGACTGATGTAAGGCATGGCCTTTTCTCCAGGTTGCATTTGAACTGTTGTTAGTTGTGCCATGAGTCGGCTTTGCGTAACGCTGTCGGATGCTTGATGAATACTTCGCAGATGTTGATAAGCGAGTTCCGCGGAGTTTGCGTAGTTCCGGTAGGCGCGGATGCTTTGTTGTTCATTCGGCGACAGGTTTCGGAGAAGAACGGTGTAAGCCATGAGGGAGTGATACGTATAATTTTCTTTGTCCTTGTCTTCGCCGTTGTGTGGATATGGCCAGGTACCGTTGAAGAAGCCAAGAAGATTCGCGCCTTCCATCAGGAGTTCAAATTCGAAGCTCCAAGAGTAGAAGTCCTTCCCGTTGAATGGTGTGGATGTGTGCAATCGTAGGATGTTGTTGAACTGTGCTTGTACTTGCAGGACTTCTTCGGTGTCTCGTTTGATGGCGGGAAGAGGAGTCGCTGGATGGCGGGGCGGCATGAACGTGAAGGAACCAGGTGAGACCGAATTTGGTGTTTGTTGATTATGTCGTCCGAACGATGAGTTGTCAATACTCATTGGTGCCGCTCCGTTGTTTACGCTGTTGCTGTTTGCAGGTTGTGAGGACTGCTGCTGCGACATGAAGTTGAAGAACTCCTCCATTAGGCTTGGGTTGAAGATTGGCGGCGCTACTGGTGCTTGAGTAGAGCGTTCCGTCGCTTCCGGTGTTAATCCGGGCGTTGTTCCTCCTTCGGTCTGCAACTCGGAGACCGGGGGTAGAGTAGATCCCGTAGATGATCTTCTTTCTTTGCCACTTGCCATGTCTTGCCTTTCTTGAGTGAAGGTTGAACTTCTTGGTCGTTTGCAGATTGGTAGCCTGAAAGAGGCTTAATGACGAGAGCCTTTGTTCTCTGACTGCTCTCATACCATGTTGGGCTGAGAATTTCAGCCTTAGGATCTTTGCAGAGAATAGGCTAGTAAGTGCTAGAGTAGCACAGCGGAAGTCTTGAGTGAATGTACTTGTGCTGGTATGTGAGAACAAGTAATTGATTAAAGCAAAGGGCATACAGGAATATATAGAAAAGATAGATTACAAGGAACGGTTATGTTTATCGAGACGCGTAACGCTTCGACTATCGAGGTGGTTACTGTTCACTGAAGCGTCGCTTGCTGTTACGTAACCTCCAGGCGGTTACAGCTCGCAACCTCTAGTTGCGGTTTGATGTGGTACGCGCCTTTTCGACTTCGTACTCCTTTTGTTGTGCTTCAGTATCGGGTGAGGTTCGATACTACAGAAACGCACTAAGTCATGCGTTTATTTTCCCAACACCGTGCGTGTTGAAATTAGGAGGTCGCTAGAGTAGCGGAAATACTCTAGGAAATAACGACGTCCCAGCGACGGGGCTATGGTCACTCAGAGGTAGCTCTCCTGGCTTGTAACTTGGTGCCAAAGCGGCGGCCGAGGGTAGGCCGGACACAAGCTTGAGAATTGTGTAATGATAGCATGGCAGTACATTGAGTTATATAGGAAACATAGCAGGGAGGCAGTTACCAAGGCGCAACTGTATTACAGTTGCGCTGTAACGTTTCAGCTGCCCAGTTACTGGCGAGACCTTTCAGCTTCGGCAAGGGCGCGGTATTCTGCCGCGCCTCCAGGGTGGTTTCGCGTACTGTAGACGCTGCCTCTTGCTCAATTCGACCCTTCGGCTGCCACGCGGGTCGCAACCACTGTACGCGGTTGCGCCCCTGCAGTTCGATACCTGGGTCAACATCCCCGATATTGAGGGCTTCGCTTCTGCACTTCAAACAGTGCACTGCAAGATAAATAACACACAAATATATTTCCAACACTCCCCTCCACTGTTAGAAGTGTAGAATCCAAGAGAGATGAAATTCTCCATGTTGAAATTCTGAAGTCCTCGTCAGGGACTTCACCGGTACGCCTTGAAATGCGTCTTGCCAAGTCGCCCAAAATTATGCGACGGCGCGTTGAAGATTTCCTCCACGAAATTCTCCGTGGGTAGTGGCAGGTTCTGACCTGCTCCAGGAGATGTTCCTGGTGATGATAAAGGTGGTGAGCCAAACTGAATGAAGCTGCTCCCACAGGTCCAAGTGTTTGAACGCTTGCTCGTGATACCATGTTGAAATTAGGAGGTCGCTAGAGTAGCGGAAATACTCTAGGAAATAACGACGTCCCAGCGGCGGGGCTATGGTCACTCAGAGGTAGCTCTCCTGGCTTGTAACTTGGTGCCAAAGCGGCGGCCGAGGGTAGGCCGGACACAAGCTTGAGAATTGTGTAATGATAGCATGGCAGTACATTGAGTTATATAGGAAACATAGCAGGGAGGCAGTTACCAAGGCGCAACTGTATTACAGTTGCGCTGTAACGTTTCAGCTGCCCAGTTACTGGCGAGACCTTTCAGCTTCGGCAAGGGCGCGGTATTCTGCCGCGCCTCCAGGGTGGTTTCGCGTACTGTAGACGCTGCCTCTTGCTCAATTCGACCCTTCGGCTGCCACGCGGGTCGCAACCACTGTACGCGGTTGCGCCCCTGCAGTTCGATACCTGGGTCAACATCCCCAATATTGAGGGCTTCGCTTCTGCACTTCAAACAGTGCACTGCAAGATAAATAACACACAAATATATTTCCAACATGTGCAGAGAAAATTCTCCTAAACCTCATGCGTTTATCTCGCTACTTTTACCAAGCAAAAAGTACAATCTTGATATGAGGTTTTCTTGATATGAGGATAGGAATACGCTCTAATGAGAAACTCTTTTCAAGATGCGTGAAAATATTTCCTAGTTTAAAAAGGTTTCCATTTATAAGACTTAGACACCCAAAACCTCCCCAAATACAAGATAACCCAAGCATTTTTTTTAGTGTATGAGATAAGACATATATGTCTAACATCCAGGCAATGACGGTAGTTGGTCTCGTACGCAATGCTGAGGTGCGTGGTAAGGAATGCCAAAAAATCCTGAGCATCATTGAATCTTAGCAGGTGGGTGGGATTCTGACAGTGGAGGAGATCCAAGATAGAACGGCTCAAACCCTAAACACTTAAAGGTTCAGTGGCCGTATGCTGTATTTTATATTTCACACTCCTTTCTTGACCAGTTTGTACTGGAGCAGAGTCCATTCGTCCTTCACAATGTGTGGTGGCATGTGTGTACTGGCGATGGCACGGCATCGAGCGGTCAAGCCGTGACGGTGGTGCCGAGGGCGGCCATGAGCAAGCTGATGAGCTCTGGGTGGGCGGGCCATGCAGCGCCCGTGATGAGGTGCCCGTCCTGGAAGCACCGCGAGATGGGGTCCGGCTCCTGCCACTCGCCGCCCGCCAGCACCACCGTTGGCTTCACCGCCGGGTATGCCGTGCACCGCATGCCCTGCCACGCACACAGAGAGAAGGGATGGGGTGTCAGGGGAAGCAGAGATGGGCACAGTGGAGGGAGGAGGTGGTGGTGCGGTGCACCCCTCTGCTGCCACTCCTTATTCCCATTCCAGCTGCTTAGCCGCCCACCCACACACGTCGCCTTGCCCCACCCACCCGCCTTGCCCTGCACGCACCTTGAGCACGCCCGCAGCAGCGAGGATCTGCTGGCCGTGGCACACGGAGGCGATGGGCTTGCGGGCCGCATGGAACTGCCGCACCACCTCCAGCACGCGCGCATTCAGCGCCAGGTACTCGGGGGCGCGCCCGCCCGGCACCAGCAGCGCATCGTAGTCATCCACCCTCACATTCTCAAAGTCAGCCGTCAGCGCAAAGTTGTGCCCGGGCTTCTCCGTGTACGTCTGCACGCCACGCAGTGGTCAGCCATACCACGATCACAAGATGACAAGATCATAAAATGACACGATGACAAGATGGCAAAATGAAAAATGACAAGATACACAAATGTTTCCATCGCCATCCCAACCCTTTCCATGCTGCCTTCCCTTGACACTGCATGACAGCGAGAGGGGTGGGCACGCACCTGGTCACCCTCGAAGTCGTGCACGGCCGTCTTGCACACGTCCCCTGTGCGCCTCTCCGGGCACACGGCGTCCACGCGGTAGCCCAGCGCCTGCAGCGCCTGCATGGGCACCATGGCCTCGTAGTCCTCCATGAAGTCCTGCCCGCCACACCCGCCACCCCGGGGGATACAGGGCACCACCCACGAGGCACGCGGAGACAACGCCACATCTTAGGCCATGATCACCAAACCTTAGTTGTTGATCCAAGGATCCCCCACACATCCAACCCAAACATGACACCCCCTGATCCCAGGCCCAACACCAAAGAAGCCAAAACCCTAAAGTCTTACTTCAAACATTTTGAGCCTTCAAGCCTCAGAGCACAAGCATGCAGCAGCGTGGCAGCATCGCACACCGCGGAGCATGAGCAGCACCCCCCACCGCTCACCCCACACCGCTCACCCCACACCGCTCACCCCCCCACCGCTCACCCCCCACCACTCACCCCCCACCGCTCACCCTACACCGCTCACCCCACACCGCTCACCCCACACCGCTCACCCCTGCCAGCTCACCCCTGCCAGCTCACCCCTGGCAGCTCACCCCTGGCAGCTCACCCCTGCGAGCATGAGCACGCGCTTGTCGCTGCCGTGCACCTTGGCGCCCAGCGCCAGCAGCAGCAGCGACAGGAACTCCGGGTGCCCCGGCCATGCCGCGCCCGTTATCAGATTGTGCCTGGTGGGACGGGGGAAAGAGGCGTGTAGGGGAGCGGCAGAGAGGAGGTGAGAGGAGCGTGGGAGGGGTAAGTGCGGAGGGAGTGAGGGTGATGGGGGGGGACTGAGGGTGACCCGCCCCCGCATCCCCGCCCCCGCCGGATGACTCCCCCCCACCCCCCCCCCTTCCGATGCCCCCCCCCCCCACCCATTTCCCCCCAGCCAACTCTCTATGCCTCCCAGCCCTCCATGCCCCCCCACCCACATGGCCCCAACCCCCCATGGCCCCAACCCCCATGCCCCGCGCCCCCCATGGCCATGCCCCCCATGGCCATGCCCCCCATGGCCATGCCCCCCATGGCCATGCCCCCCGGGGCGCACTGGTCGTCAAAGAGGCAGGCGGAGATGGGGTCGGCGTCCACCCACTGGCCCCCGGCCAGCTCCACCACGGGCTTCACTGCCGGGTACGCCGTGCACTTGCTGCCCTGCCATGCCCGCACCATGCACGCCCCACACACTCCACGCACCACACAGGAGCGGCACAACACGGGATGGCTCGTGAGGGAGTGGCGTGAAGGAATGGCCATGAAAGGGCGCCATGCACCACCCACACGCTCTCACGTTCTCACATCTTCACACTCTCACGCTCTCGCGCTCTCACGCTCGCACACGCTCCCCCGATCACATGCTGAGGTGGGCTGTTTCACTCGTGGCAGGCTGGCAGCAAGTGCCACAGCAATGCCTTTTGCAGGTGCAGCGCTGGGGGACTGCTGAAATACACCCAAGCCCCTCCGCTCCACCTCATCGCCGCACTCCCCTCGGCGCGCGCACCTTGAGCACGTCAGCGGCGGCGAGCACGAGCTGGCCGTGGCAGATGGAGGCGATGGGCTTGCGGGCGGCGTGGAAGTCGCGCACGAGCGCCGTGACGCGGCCGTCCACGGACAGGTACTCGGGCGCGCGCCCGCCCGGCACCACCAGCGCGTCGTACGCGTCGCAGCGCGCCTCGTCAAACGTGGCGTTCAGCACGAAGTTGTGCCCCCGCGACTCCGCGTACGTCTGCTCCTCGTGGCCGTGCGGCAATGGGCGGTGCGCGGTGGGAGTGGGGAATGGAAGGTATATATGTGGATAGAAGATTATACCACGGGATTCACATAATCCACTGGAGCACTGGGTGAGAGAGTACTGACTTATTGCTTCGAATTCGTGAACCTAACTAAAATCCTGAACTTCTACTACAAATCTGTATGTTGATGCTTTGAGTCTTGATGGTTAGAATTGAAGCTACGTGCAGCTTAACAGCCGCGCATGGTCCCCGAGTAGGCACGTCCACTGACTGTAATTCAAGCACTAGCTGACGATCTCGTCCAGTAGTCTGGAGCACGCGGCGGGGAGTGGCGGCTGCCAGCGAGCGACAGTGGCTCACCTGATCGCCGACGAAGTCGTGCACGGCGGTGCGACAGACGTCGCCCTCCTTCTTGCCCGGACACACGGCGTCCACGTTGCAGCCGAACGCCATCAGCGCCTGGAACGGCACCATCACCTGCGCGCCATGCACGGCGAGCAGCGGCGCGCGCGCGTGAGCTCGCTATCGTGGGCCAATCGACGCGCGCGTGGCGAGACGATTTCCGACACAATTACAATCGAGATGCCGCAAGTAAAATTTAGGCGTTGGAAACAGCGGGACGGCTGGAAGGCAGTGAGGCGCGGCGGCGTACCTCGTAGTCCTCCACATAGTCGCCCACGATGAAGAGAATCTTCTTGCCCTTCACCATGCTGCTCACCGATGTGCGACAATTGCGACTAGAGGAATTTCAAATAGGCGAATCACGATATTACTAAGGATTCCAAGGGTGCAAATAATCTGGTCACAAGGTGTGACGGACTGGTGGAGTGTGGGGGTGGATGCGATGGAATGCGCGGCGAGATGGAGGGTATGAATGGTCTCCGTGGGTGTAGTGGGATCTAGAAACTGAAGTTCGAGTGAAGGGAGTGATTTGTCTTCAATACCGTAGGAAATGCTTCGACAATTTACTAGCAGCACGTTTACAGAAAAGGTTAGGACGCGCTACATCGCATAGCCTTTCTAAATTAGAAGAGTGCAACTCCTAACTATTTGACCTAGGTCTCATTTGTACAAATTTTAATATGTAGTTAAATACGAGCATGTCTGAAACCAGGTGTTCTAGCCAACAACACAACCAACTAACGTACAGGCCTACGATGCACTATGCCTTGGCAAACATCATCTCCTGCTCGATGTGACACAGACGTGTGGACATTTGTGTGCGGCTTCACCGGCCATGTTGTAGCGTGGGCACAAACCCAGAATCACGAATTCGCATGTGGATGTGCCACGCCCTTGAACTTTTGGTTAGCTAACATGTGCTGCTGCTTGTCCCACCAAAGCAGTACCATTCACACCATTGTCCTTCCAAGCTTCTTCTCAAAGAGGCGCCTCAAGAGATAGACCTGCAGAGGAGGATGGGGTGAGCGCATCCAGTGAGAGTTGCTCTGCAAACCACCGTGCTGTGTCGTGCTGCTGTGCGTGCACAGAGGACAGGAACGCAAGGGGGTGGAGCATGTGAGGGGAGTGGGGGGGCGTGCCTGCAGGAAGGAGCAGGTGATGAGGGCGAGTGACTGCATGGCTGTCTTCACCACCAGCTTGCGTGTCGTGGCCTGCGCCACTGGGGGGCAGGGGGGGGCAGGAGGGGAGGTGGGGGGGGGGGGGGGGGGGCACATGTGGTCAGCATGGAGAGCAGGGTCAGGCAGCAAGAGAGTGCAACATGTGGCTTGGGCGATGCGCGTGGCAACAAAACAAGAAACAAATTGCATCCAGAGATCTCACTAGAAAATTCTCACTGATTGCTAGATATAAGTGGCACGCAATAGTGTTGGCATGCTGAGAGGCATGGTGGGCAGCTCACGCTGGTTCTGGCGCTCGGCCTGCGCGTGGAACCACTTGGCCTCCAAGTACACACTGGTGATGTGGTTGTGCAGCCCTGAGAGCTTCGTCACTATCGGCAGTATGTGCTCTGAGGGGGTGCCCGGGGGGGAGAGGAGGGGAGGAGTGGAGGGAGTGAGAATGCGGTGGGGCTGTGCCACTCTGCGTGGTTGTTTCTGACAAGCAGTTTGAAACAGACGCTGTGCTTCTCTGCTGGAGACAACATGAAGCTTTAAGGTGGCAAGGGACAGAAATACTAGTGAAAGGAAAAGAGCTGGAAATGGAAATGCTGCAAACATAAAGAATGCAAAACATACAAACAAACTGGCAAAGAATCAGGGAGAGGAAAACATGCATGAATGCTGGACAGACAAGAACGCAGGGAATACAGGATTGAAAAGGAGGAGGGGCTGAGTGAGACTGACCGTCAGTGGCGATCTCGTGGGGCTGCACCTGGTGGCCCACAAACACCTCCAGTGACACCGTCTCAAACACCGGCGACCTGCCACCCCCATGCAGCACAGAGGGGGGGGATGAAGGGAGGGAGGGAGGGATGGAGGGAGGGAGGGAGGGAGGGAGGGAGGGAGGGAGGGAGGGAGGGAGGGAGGGAGGGAGGGAGGGAGGGAGGGAGGGAGGGAGGGAGGGAGGGAGGGAGGGAGGGAGGGAGGGAGGGACGGAGGTAGGGAGGGAGGGAGGGAGGGAGGGAGGGAGGGAGGGAGGGAGGGAGGGAGGGAGGGAGGGAGGGAGGGAGGGAGGGAGGGAGGGAGGGAGGGAGGGAAAGAGGGAGGGCGACATGTTAGGTTGTTGTTGGAGCCAGGCCAGCATGTACCATGCCACTCGCATCCCTCCTGTGCCACTCGCATCCCTCCCATGCCACTCGCATCCCTCCCATGCCACTTGCATCCCTCCCATGCCACTCGCATCCCTCCCATGCCTCTCGCTCCTCCCATGCCTCTCGCCCCTCCCATGCCTCTCGCCCCTCCCATGCCTCTCGCCCCTCCCATGCCTCTCGCCCCTCCCATGCTCTCGCCCCTCCCATGCCACTCGCATCCCTCCCATGCCTCTCGCCCCTCCCATGCCTCTCGCCCCTCCCATGCCTCTCGCCCCTCCCATGCCTCTCGCCCCTCCCATGCCTCTCGCCCCTCCCATGCCACTCGCATCCCTCCCATGCCTCTCGCCCCTCCCATGCCTCTCGCCCCTCCCATGCCTCTCGCCCCTCCCATGCCTCTCGCCCCTCCCATGCCTCTCGCCCCTCCCATGCCTCTCGCCCCTCCCATGCCTCTCGCCCCTCCCATGCCTCTCGCCCCTCCCATGCCTCTCGCCCCTCCCATGCCACTCGCATCCCTCCCATGCCTCTCGCCCCTCCCATGCCTCTCGCCCCTCCCATGCCTCTCGCCCCTCCCATGCCTCTCGCCCCTCCCATGCCTCTCGCCCCTCCCATGCCTCTCGCCCCTCCCATGCTCTCGCCCCTCCCATGCCACTCGCATCCCTCCCATGCCTCTCGCCCCTCCCATGCCTCTCGCCCCTCCCATGCCTCTCGCCCCTCCCATGCCTCTCGCCCCTCCCATGCCTCTCGCCCCTCCCATGCCTCTCGCCCCTCCCATGCCACTCGCATCCCTCCCATGCCTCTCGCCCCTCCCATGCCTCTCGCCCCTCCCATGCCTCTCGCCCCTCCCATGCCTCTCGCCCCTCCCATGCCTCTCGCCCCTCCCATGCCTCTCGCCCCTCCCATGCCTCTCGCCCCTCCCATGCCACTCGCATCCCTCCCATGCCTCTCGCCCCTCCCATGCCTTTCGCCCCTCCCATGCCTCTCGCCCCTCCCATGCCTCTCGCTCCTCCCATGCCTCTCGCCCCTCCCATGCCTCTCGCCCCTCCCATGCCTCTCGCCCCTCCCATGCCTCTCGCCCCTCCCATGCCTCTCGCCCCTCCCATGCCTCTCGCCCCTCCCATGCCTCTCGCCCCTCCCATGCCTCTCGCCCCTCCCATGCCTCTCTCTCGCCTGGTACCCATCCAGCCCACAGCTCGTTGGCTGCGTCACCGCGAGTGCCTGCCGTCGTCCCTCCCACCTCCACGCACCCACGTGCTCCACTCTTCCCACCGCTTTCTACTCCATCACAAACTCCCTCCCCCATGTCCCCCCCCCCCTCCCACACCCCCCCCGCGCACTTGTTGGTGAAGCAGAAGCGGTAGTCGCCCTCGCGCTGCGACATGAACTCGAACTTGCCCTGCGTCTGCCCCTCCGTTGAAAACGCCGTGTACCCGTCCGGGTCGCTGATCTGCGCACCGCACACAAGGGGGGAGTGGAAGGGCGGGAAAGGGGAGGGAGGGGAGGGGATGAGGGAGCGGAGGGGGGAGGGGAGGGGGGGAGGGAGGGAGGGGAAGGGGAGAGGGAGAGGTGGGGGGAGGGAGGGGAAGGGGTGAGGGGAGGGGGGTGGAGGGGAGGGGGGGAGGGAGGGGGGGAGGGAGGGAGGGGGGGAGGGAGGGGGGGAGGGAGGGGAGGGGGGGAGGGACGGTAAGATGGTGGCTCGGGGCGAGTGAGCGTAGAGCGCAGATAAGAGTGAAAGCACGCGCCAGTGGCTCGTGCTGTGATCGGTTGAGCCGAACGTCACTCAGTGCATGAGACTCACCACCACGTCCACGCCGTTCGCTCCACTCACCACTAGGTCGACGCCGTTCTGCTCCCAGTCGCCCCACGCGTCGGCGCTGACAACGACGAAGTTGCCGTGAACGACGTCGCCCACCCAGTTGACGTACTCCGTCAGACACTCTTTCCGGTCCAGCGTGAACCGCACGCCGCGCGCGCCGCTGCTCGCCGACAGCACGAGCACGAGCAGCAGCAGCTCGCGAAAACACTGCCGCCGCATCCACCGCCGCAGCCGGGGGAGGGTGCAGCGATTCGGCCTTGAAGGCATCGCGCTCCCACTATGTATTATGCTCAACCTGAACCAAAATCGAGAAATGGTGCCGACACTTAGACCAGGAGTGATGTGCTGATCTTGAACTCTTCACATGATCAGCACAGGAGTGTCAGGATGGTCCGTAGATGGCAAGGGGTTCGACCAACTGTTTGAACAGAGATTGTGTTCGCAAACTCTTCGCCTGATACGCCTGCATCGCAAACAGCTTTTCGCCAGTTGCGACGGTAGGATAAATACACAGACACTTCAAGTCCAGCATCACACGACGCGTAAACGGTACAGTTACGAGTGGGTATTTGCTACAGTTATACGATATGATATTACTGCTCTAAAATTATCTTACTCAGAGTCCTCGCTATCACACAAATCTGTCTGTTTTTCTAAGATTTCAAACGGATTTTTATGCGTTTTTTTTGCAATAACAGGAATATTATTGAGAAATTCCTGTAAGTTGTGCCGATAGAGCACGAGCTCATATAGAGCGCGCGTAACTCACACTATTGCGAAGTGCCCATATAAGAGCACGCGATAGTGCAGAGTGTTATGAATAGTAAAATATTAAAAGTCACTGTGCACTCCTGACAGTAGCAATCGGGTCACACGGCAATGCGTATGAAGACGAATAGGCGGAATGGCCGATGAGTCGCGCACCGTTACGGAGAATCCGGATCGTCAGGGCAGACAACATCAGGCAGCAGCAGTGTCGAGGATTCTGCTGGAACAGTTCGTAACCTTCTAGAGTCGCACGGTTGGATTTTGCTGTAGTAAGGGAATGTACCCCTTAGAGTATATGGCTAGCTAGGTCGTTCGTTTCGTATTCCCCTGTACTCTTATTTATACGAATGTATTTGCGTGCCTTTATCATGTCAGTCATTTCATATTCACATTAATCTCAGGTCAAGGGCTCACCACTACCACACATTCTCTGCGTAACTTCATGAGGTGATCCTAGGCACGATCTATATTCTGATCGCAACATGGTATGAGAGAGACTACGGGAACCTTCGCTTTGCCACCTCCGAAAACATTAGCGAACTAAAGTGGCGTTCGGCACACGCTCACGTGTAGGGATGGCCAGAAAATGTTGAGGTTAGACAAATCTGACCGCTGAAGCGCACTCTAATCCGGCTGCAACAAACAAGGAGACGACGGCGATTGGCACTTCCGCCCTCACACAACTGCTTCAGCGACTTTCAAATTTGGAGCAAGGGCTCCAAACATTACGGAATGGCGACGCGGGAACATCTTCCCAACCATCTCAACCGGTCGCCAACGGCCAAGATATTGCCCCGCACACCTTCTCTCTCAACAGAAACGGCTCAACACCCAAGACTCCCCGTCCCGGCAATGAAGCAATCCTCTCAGCTCAATCAAGGTTATTGAGCATATAAAAAATAAAGACAAGTGCATGCTTTGACGGCAATAATTTTTATACCCGAAGCTTCAAGCTGGAGCTACTGCTGCAAAACGCGCAAATATTTCATTATGTCGGCGGGAGCTACGCGGGAACCACTGAAGACACCGTTGACGCCAGGACACAATACTACAGCGAATCGCTGATGTCGTATGACATATTAGTGCGCAACATGTCACCGGCGGAGCAGCTAGGAATTCGCTCCTACAAAACTACCTCTGCTCCTACACCCGACGTCTGGCAAAACCTCGACGACGTATACCAACCGAAGGATTCGTTCTCATCGAGTTGCCTACTCCAGCAGCTACTAGAGACAAAAATTGCCCCTGGAGAGAAGGCCAACAGCTACATCTGTCAGAATGTTATTATCTAGCCTGTAGTGGGGTGCTCTATAGCGGGCACAACCCAGTTAGGGTTTGCTATATGTATCCCAACTGCTGCTAGTGAAATCCCCCTTCCTGTTTCTAAACTTTGTACTGCTACTTTTGACATGGTTTCAGAGCAGGTCGACCCCCTTGGGTCGATCCTGTGGGTGGGCCCACCACCTAACTGCTTCCGCTGCTACTCTGTCTGTTGCACGCCCCGTGGCGTGCGACGCCTTCTTCCTGCCGCCGCGCCCTCGGGGCGCGCGGCGGTTTTCTGCCCGCCGTGCGCCCCGAGGTGCGCGGCGGTTTCCTACCGTGGGGGACCCGCGCGCAGCCCCCCGCCCTTCCCGTCGCGTCGCCCTGCCGGCCGTGCGCGGGCCTGCAGGCCGCGCGCGGCTCGTTTGCCGGTAGCGCGGCCTTGGGGACCCGCGCGCGGCCCTGCCCTGCTCGTCGCGGCGCCCTGGGGAGCACGCGCGGCCCCCGCCCTTCTTGTCGCGGCGCCCTGGGGAGCCGCGCGCGCCCCCCGCCCGTTCGTCGCGGCGCCCTGGGGAGCCGCTCGCGCCCCCCCTGCCCGTCCGTTTTGGCGCCCTGAGGAGTGACGCGCAGCCCCTCCTGTACCGTCCCCCCCCCGTGCTGCCCATTCCTCCCGTGCCGCCGTGCGTTCCGCTGTGGTGGGGGGTGTGGGGTGGCGAGCATGGGGGTGCGCGGTGTGGGTACTCCCCTTCCCTCTCCCCACCTCCTTGTTCGTCTCCCACTGCTGTAGCTGCTGCTGAGGCGGGTGGAGGTGTGGGAGCCGAGGGGAATGGCGCTAGGGGGGTGACGCGGGAGTGGAGTTAGGGGTTCAGCAGGGGGTGTGTGTCAAGGGTGTGGGTCAGTTGGAGGAGGTTGTGTGGAGATAGCTGTCGTGTCGCCTGCAGCGCCTATAGTCCGTCACCCTTGTGTTTGGTAGCCAGTGAGCCTGTTGCACCAGTCGCCAGTGTGTCCGTTGCTCCTGCCGCTCGTCTTAGCCGCGGAGCCAGTCACTCCATTAGTCCGTCGCCCTTGCTTCGGTAGCCACTGAGTCAGCCGCTCCTGTGCCCGTGCCTCTGCAGCTTCAATCGTTGCCTCCCATCTTCTCTCCTTCCACAGTTCCTCCTCCTCCTCACTTGCCCGCTGCGATTACCTCTAGCTTAGCTTATTATTGTGAACTCCTGCTATGCCTACTCATTGTGCTGATTACACCCCACTTTGGCTATGGGGGTGTGTCAGAATGTTATTATCTAGCCTGTAGTGGGGTGCTCTATAGCGGGTACAACCCAGTTAGGGTTTGCTATATGTATCCCAACTGCTGCTAGTGAAATCCCCCTTTCTGTTTCTAAACTTTGTACTGCTACTTTTGACAACATCAACCGTTGCCGAAGCTTACGCGATCAAATCGCAAAACTTGGAAGCACGATCTCAGAAGAAATATTCGTTAATATCGTGCTCGCAGGACTCAGCCCAGAATGGCGACCCTGCAAGACGCTTCTCCGGCAATAGGTCGCTATCTCGGAAGCAGCCATCTGCGCTGCCGTTCTCGTCGAACAAAGAGACATGAACCAGCAGCAACAAGCGTCGCAACGAGATCGGGAACGCCTCGCCTTCAATGCGAACAACACGGAAGAGCGACGACTGCGTCGCCTCTACTGCAAAATCTGCAGAAACTTCGGGCACTTGGCGGAGCGATGCAAATGCCGATCTCGCCCCCGTCACACCAATCCGGCACTTGGTCCGGCCGACAAGACGCACGAAACGATACGCGTCATACCCAGGGCTTTCAACCCCCGTCGCGCAAACTGAATCCAACGGTTCTGCACCAGCACCAATAGCCGTCGCAACTTGCTCCCGCCCATAATATCATTGGCAACATGACCATGACACACACGAGCGGATCTTGCCGTCGCGGCGTGCGTACGCCGTCACCCGAGCCAGCACGCCACCCAATTAGGGCATTCAAGGCTAACAACCCATTCAACCCCCGACATGATTTCAGCGACGACGACGACGACCAGGATTGGACCCTCCCAATCGCGCTGCTTGAAAGCCCCCCGCACGAATCTGATTCAAGGGCGGCTCCTCTTGAATGGATACTGCGCGAACAATTCATGACGTTTGATACTCCGCATATCGTCACGCCGCGATTGGCGCTGCTCGTGCATGACAACAACAAGAGGTACAACACTTGGTACCTCGACAGCTGCTACTGGCAGCATATGGCCGGTTCCGAGCGTTTTGTCTCAAACGCCGTCTCGACCCCCGCGGTCACTTACGTCATCGTGACGAACAATACCCGTTTGCGAGCAAGCGCGCAAGGCATCGTCGTGCCCAAGGCGCGCGAGAGCCGCACGCACATCACGCTGAACAATGTGTGTCAAACTTATATGCTATAGTCTGTGTAGGCTGTAGTGGGGTAGACAATATGGGGTACAACACTTCTAGGTTTTCCTACTTGTACTCCCCTGCTTGCTAGTTCATTCATTCCTCATTTCTCAACATGGTATAGAGTAGGTTCCCTAGTGGGAACGCTTCCTTGGGCCCACCACTGAAACTTTTTTTTTTTTCTGACCGGAGCGACAGTCGCTCCTGCCCGAGGCGCGCCTTGTGGGCTGCCCTTCTGTCGACCTCTGTTAGAGGCCCCTCTCACGGCCCCTCGCGCCACCCTCAGCGGCCCCATCGCCGCCCCTAGCGGCCCTGTAGCCGCCCTTCCAGGCCCCTTGCGGCCCCTAGCGGCCCCGTCGCCGCCCCTACGCGGCCCCGTCGCCGCTGACCTCCCTACACGGCCCCGTTGCCACCCCCACGCGGCCCGGTCGCCGCCCCTACGCGGCCCCGTCGCCTCCCCTAGCGGCCCCGTAGCCGCTCCCCTCCCTACGCGGCCCCGTCGCCGCCCCTACGCGGCCCCGTCGCCGCCCCTACTCGGCCGCCATTGCAGCAGCCGCCCCGCCCCTGGAGCGGCCGCCACTGCAGCAGCCGCCCCGCCCCTGGAGCGGCCGCCACTGCAGCAGCCGCCTCGCCCCTGGAGCGGCCGCCACTGCAGCAGCCGCCCCGCCCCTGGAGCGGCCGCCACTGCAGCAGCCGCCCCGCCCCTGGAGCGGCCGCCACTGCAGCAGCCGCCCCGCCCCTGGAGCGGCCGCCACTGCAGCAGCCGCCCCGCCCCTGGAGCGGCCGCCACTGCAGCAGCCGCCCCGCCCCTGGAGCGG